AGGCCTTCTGTCTATCCATAGTTCCCTCATACATTCCATATATCCCCTCTCATTAGGTCTGCTGTTGTAGTAGCATTCCATCAGTTCCAAGTTCTCTTGTCTTGTCCATGTATGGTTTGTTTAATATATATATTAAAGTCCTTAAACTTGCATTTAAAACTTCTTTCACTCAGGATTGAAGGAAACTCATCTGGTGTATAAAGCTTGTTGGTCTGAAGGTTCCTAATAGTTGAAAAGCAGTTAACAAGCAATTTCCAGAAATGTTTAGAAAAGGAAGTATGTGAACCCTGCCTCCATAAAGGTGCCAACTGCGGTTTGGGCTAAAATGGCTTATTCCCTTCTCACTCAGAGCTCCAAACCCGTTGGAGATTGCTGTCAGGAGCACCTGTCAGGAGCACTTGTGGGTGATCCCAAGTCCTCTCCTTTTCTGGAGAGGAATTATCAAAGGGCTGGTCTACTTGCTGGCTCTTCATTCTGCCATGGTCGTTGGCTCCACTCTCAGCAGAGCTGTCTTCAGTTCGCATTGTCTTCCCTGGAAGTCTCCACTTCGATGGCTTTTTCTCAAGAGACTCTCCTGCCTTTGGGGTATGAACAAGCCAAGAGAATTCTGACACAAAACGTTCTAGACGTGGAAGGACAACAAGGACAGTCTGTCCTGCTCAGAATGTTTTCCTGAGCAGTCACTCTTATATTGTCAGAGTGGCAAGATATGTAAATTATATCATGTTCTCCAAGTTGAAAAGAGCTTCAACACTGGCTTGATTTAATGTTCTGCCTTCAGATACTCTGGAAGGAAGATACAAAAAAACATCCATATGCTGTCTGACTATGCTCATATGATACGGGTGCCGTAGACTCAGTTGCCCACATTTTACTGTATGATATTGATGTTTTTATAGGAATATTAGAATCATTATGTGGTAAAATATCCAAATCAATCTAACACTTTCTATATTCAGACTCTTCTTTCTATCAAATGGTTTCTACCTTCCTGGAGTTTGCCAAATTTGGTTATGCTGCCAGCAAGATAAAATCCAAGTTGTCTAACTCACACATTCCTTAATATAGCACAATTGTGGCTAAGCCTTGAATAACTCTCAATAAGTGCATACATAGATAGAGAGACTTCACTTTTTGCCTACTTCTATCTTAGAATTTTAGTTTTAGATCACTAATGTTAAGTACTGAAGACAAATAACAGCCTGCTTCCTAGCTTTAGAGACACAGTTTATACTGGTAACAATGGTACTAATATTCTGTACTATCTTTTTAGCTTACATTTTCATATCTGGTCTTCCTCTTCCACTTTTAAACAGTTTGTTGATTGTTTTGTGCTATACAGGTAGTCCTCAGGTTATGACAGCAATTGCAACTGGGATTTTCATTGCTAAGTGATGTAGTCATAAAGCACAATGTCATGTGACTGCACTGCTTAGCAACGGCAATCCTGGTAGTCCTTGTTGCCATTGTTAAAGGAGAACTGCATGGGTTGTTAAGTGAAAGGACCTCACGTGACCATGACATGGGAAGGGGCACTGAAACCACATCCCAGGCAAGCAGACCAGTGGATGAGAACTACTGGTGGGCAGGCAGGTGGCTGGGTGGGTGCCACAGGTAGGCATTATGGAGTACGGGCAGGCAGGTGCTGCGTTCAGGCATTATGGAGTGCAGTCGGGCATGTGGGTGCCGAGGGTGGGTGCTACAGAGTGCAGGCAGGTGGGTGCTACAGAGTATGGATGGGCAGGCTCTATGGAGCATGAGATCCCCATGCCACCCAGGGTCCCTTCGGGAGAAAAAGTGGCGGGAGCAGGAATGACTTGGGGGAGCAATTTGCAATCTTCTGCCAACTTGCCTGTTGAGTTTGCTTGTAGGAAGTCAGCAGAGAAGGTTGCAAATGGTGATCACGTGACTGCAGGATGCTGCAACCATCGTAATTGTGAGCCAACTGCCAAGCGCCCGAATCGTGATCAGCAACTTCAAGGACCGGTTGTAAGTCCCCCTTATCCAGGGCTGTCAAAATTTTGAACAATTGCTGAATGAGTGGTCATAACCTGAGGACTACCTGTACTAGTCTTTGACCGAAAGAAACTTTGAACTGATATGTTTAGATATGTATGCAGTGGTATTCCAGAAGACCTTTGGGCATGTGTCAAAAAATGTATCCATCTTGTCATCCAGAAATCAGGCATTGCAGCGGGGGGGGGGGGTAGTGGGGAGAGCTTTAGGCAGGAATTGGTAGCTAAGGAGCCCCTTCCCCTGCTTTCCTCTTCCCCCAGCTGACAGAAGTAACTGAACTTTGAAATCCTAGCTCCTTTTTCCAAACCCTAGAGATTCTGCAGCTTGTTAGCATAGGGAAATAACGTTCATTTCTATCAGCTTTATCAGTTTATGATGGTAAGCTTTATTTACAAAAGCAGGACAACAGTTGGAATGATTTATTGGAATGATTTATTAGCATGATATAACTTGAGTTAAAAAGAGGATGCACCTTTGTGTAATTCTAGGACCTGTAACCCTTCAAGGGGTGGGGCACTAATTAAATGACGTTCTTTGCTCCTTGTTCTCCCTGTTTCACCCTTGTCAAGAGAAGATGATTATGAATCATCTTCAAGCTGCTTTTGTGGGATTGCAGAGTGGAACCAGTGATGATATGGAAATACTTTGAGAAGAAACGTCTGTCTGTCTTTAATGTTGGTAGAATGGTAACATCATATTTGCTTCTTAAGGAGAGAGAGAGAAAGCTGAAGTAAAAAAAAATGTTGCATTTCGATGCAGCTGAAATTTCTTGATTTTTCCCAAAAGATGGTCCCATGCAGAATATGACTAAGAAGTCATTACATATTATGGAGGTGCAATGAGCAGATAAAATTCTTTCCATTTCATAGATGCTCATTGGGATCTTTTTTGTGTCGTTTTTCTAGAGTATAACCTATACTTAACCTTCATAGCTCAGTTTAAATATCGGTCATCGAATTATGTGATGGACCTCCCGAATTTGATTTCTTTCCATTATATTTAGAAGCTGTTTCTCCTTGTGATGACTTTTACAATTAGATGTTTTCACACAGATAGTGTAATTGTTTAGTTTTGATGTTACATACCAGATCATAATAGGTAACATCAAAAGAGTAAGGTGTGCTGATTTCCGCAAGCACAAAAAACACTGGACGTAGTTTGTCTCAGCAACGTCACTGTTTAAGGTCAGCTCCAGAAATCAGCTAACTGCGAAGAGGCGACAAAGACTTTGACCAGGGTAGAAAGCTGTGGTGCCACTAACGTTCCACCTCTTCTGAAATCAGAGATCCTACTAATTTTGTACAGTGCAATTAATCTATCTTTGTACTGTCGAAGGCTTTCACGGCCGGCATACGATGGCTGGTGTGGGTCTTCCGGGCTGTGTGGCCGTGTTCTGGGAGTTTTCAAGAAGTCTTCCGGCCACACAGCCCGGAAGACCCACACCAGCCATAATCTATCTTTATTGATTGTATCTGAGTTCTGTGTGCACACTTGTCGCTTTTCCTGGCTTTTCCTACCTTTCCCTTTTCCCAAATTAATTTCTTTTTATAGAGATGTGACTCTATTATTTAAAATGAAAAATGTAATTAAAACCTTCCTCATATCCCAGACTGCACAGTAACAGGTACATTTTCAGTAGGGCTACCCCACATGGGCTGCAAAAATTCGGACGACCCATAGATAGTAGGAAAGAGACAGATTTCTGCAGAGTTTAGTTGCCATCTGATGGTCCTCTGGATTTTTGAGCCCAGAGACTGCAGCCCCCAAATCTTCTCCAGGAAGCTGGAGAATCCTACCAGGCAGTATTAAGTTAGGTTCAGGGAATGCAGTTGTAGCGGGGGGTTGGATTTTGCTCTCTCTCTAAAACTCATAAACATTTTTCTGGGTCAGCATCAGGGTTATGCAACTGAGGAAAAATGGTTGCCTGCTACAGAAGGGAACAGTCTGGGAATGGAAGTTTCCAATTTTATATCAACAAGGGCTTGTATATTATATTTTGTGTGAACCACCTCTGATAGATGCAGAATGCCACAAAACGATGTAACCCTATTCATGCTGTTAGATTCCTAGAGATATTCATTTAGCTACCATCTTGACTTATTTGACACCCTCCCTGGGGACACCTCTAACCATACCTGATATAGCCCAACGCTTCCAAAAGCGTTGGGCTATACTGTGGTCATTATCATTCCCATAATCCCCAAGGGAATGCTGATCGAGTAAGTATTTGACGATTTTAGCATCTTCTCAAATCAGTGTCAAGAAGCTTAATGTACTACGGTAACAAAATGTTTTATTCGCTTAATATTTAGTGAATAAATTAGCAATTTAATATTTTATTCACAATGTAGTTTTGTAATGCAGAAGGTTAGTTTCAAGTATTTTTAAAACATTAGTATCCTAGTACTTGTGTTTATAGTGTATTTTAGTTTGCTCCATTTTATTTCTTCTGGTTTGTTTAGAAATTTTAAATACCTTTTTGGCCCGAGCAATGTAACAGTGTTACAAAACAGTAGATAATTCTAGGCAGTGCCCATAATGAAAGAGTCGGTTTTTTCATAGTGGACCTGGACCAAATCCAAAGTATTTTGCTCCAAGGTTCAATGTACTGTATGCTATGATTAATTCAAACAGACTGTTCGGTGGGACTGCCTCCTTTTTCTAACCGAAGAGGAGGAGGAGGAGGAGGAGGCGGCGGCGGCGGCGGCGGCTGCTGTATAGGCAAAGTAGACACAGCTTCATTTCTTCATATGCTTTCTTGGCGGAGATACAAATAAGATCAGGCTTTTCAGAAGGTTCGTATTTAAATGTTGATATGGAATGACCTTTTCAGAGTTTCAGGTGTTTTATATCAACTGCTGTGGGCATAATGGGATTAAATATTGAAAGAAAATGGTTAATTGCCTAAAAGCAATATAGAAATATTTTAGCTTGTTTGTAGGATCATGCTATTTGCAGACCTTTAATAGGAGAAAGGAGCAAAATTACAGATTAAGCTATTAAAGCAGTAGATTAGATAGGATAAAGCACAACAAGGGAAGGAAAAGGAAGAAAGAAAAATAAAAAGAGGCTGAAGTTGGGTTAGTTGTAAGCAGGGCAATGTTTATTGCTGTATGATTAGGCATCAAAGTGGGGATTAAAACTGCCTTCTTTGTTCTGAAGTGCTGCAACAGAATTTCCCCCCAATTGGGAGTAGAAGGGAAAAGAAAGGGGATAGGTTTTATTTATTTATTTGTGTGTTTGTTTATTCTTCAAACTTATATTGCTGCCCATCTCACTATAGAAGTGATTCTAGGTGGCGTCACAGATAAAAACTATAAAATCAAAAACAAACAAACAAATATATAAAAGTTAAAAATGACAACAGGTTAAAATTAAGCTAAAAAGTTAAAATTAAAATGCAAACTAAAAAGGCGGAGAGAGCATCCTCAGGCTACCAGCCGCCCCCAGTGCTGCAAATCCCCATTGGGTCCCCAAGTTGGCAGAGCCAGGTCTTGACGCCCGTTCTGAAGGCCAAATGAGTGGGGGCCAATTTCACCTCAGGGGGCAAGATGTTCCAGGGGGCAGGAGCCATGGCAGAAATGGGTCTCCTCCTGGACCCCACCAGTCAAAACTGTCTAGATGACGGGGTCCGTAACATACCCTTCCTGAATTTATGCAGGGTGGTATTTTTGCAGGGAAGAGAAACATCATTATGGTGAGTTTCTATTTACACAGAAGAAAGTTGTCCTTGGAATGAGGCACTTGAAAATATTTTAGGATGAAGTGAAAGCAGCCCATTTAGCAATCCTCCAGTCCAGTGTTTCCACTTCTCACGATTGTTTGATAGGATTTTAATACTGTATTGTATTATTTTTCAGTATAGGCTGGCAAATAATTCTGATTTCGGGGACCCCTGAGAGGATCTTGGGTGTAAGGTTCACAGCTACCCAGAAAACTTGAAATCAGTCAGCAGCACAAAATAAGAGACTTCAAGCAGGGACTTCTCTAAGCAGCGTTTTATTGGGCCAAGCAAAAGTCTGGGTGCTCACACCATGCACCAAGAGAGACCAGGGTGGC